ACCTTTTTGTGTTCTTCAAGCAGGACTAGTTTCAACTTCTGAGGACAAGAGTGATAAGATTTACACTAGTCCTAGACTGGTCATAAGAAAAACAAATTTCTAAGGCTGAACTACCATTGAAATCATATAGCGTGTCTGAGTCAGTTGGGTGTATGACCGCTTTAAACAAGATTTCAGTGGTACCAATGTGTGTTAGCTATATGGGTCAAAGCTACAATCAATTCAGGTTGTACACAGCTTCGGAGAAACCCAAAAGTAATGACGTACAGTTGAAATGGTGGACCAAGGAGTTATATAGTTGTGTAACTGTACATCCCCTGTTTGCTTCCACACCAGCAGATGGTGCTGTCGGCCAATAAAACATCCTTCACATTCTGCCACAACGACACTTCATCAATATGACTGTATAGCTAAATGTGGTCAATACCCACACGGGAGCATGAACTGTTTCAGTTCACCGAGCATCCATATGTTTGTGTTGTATCTTTCAAGTAGTGTTTGGGCTTTGCTCAAATCATGAATCTGTGGTATGGTAGTCTGTTCCTGAATTGTGCAGTGTTCTGTAATACAAACATACTTTCTTAGCGGCAAAGTTTTGCCATCGTTAGTTTCTGTCAGCATGTGGTTAGTTTTACTTCCAGTGCTATTCCTGAAATCTGATGCAACATACAGATGGTGAAATTAAGGTTGTGTTGGACTGACTGGGCTGCTTGGGTTCAATGCCAGGATGTCGGTTCCTTCGGCCCTTTTGTCAAAAGACTAGTGTAGGCCTTCTGTACTGATATTTATTCTGAATGCTGTGAATACTGAAACATAAAAATACAATGGCTATTCAAGTGATTTTAATGAAATAATAAAGGCAAAGTTTTTTCTGTATTTTCCAATGGCAAGCTTGTATCATGATTAATCCCCTAAAATGAGAGTTAACTACCAGAGGTAACGGCTTATAGAAATCATAAACACATTTCAACACTCTGTGTGATTTAATAAAATATGTATGCTTTTCCTCCTTGTGTAACTTTGTTTTCCTCATGTTGAATGTTGTTGGGATATGGCGTTATCTCATTCTGTATTCAGTCATAGGCTGTGTTAGCCACTTGTATGCTCGACAGAATGTCATTCATTTGGGCCACTTCCTCGACAGACTCATTTGTGGGTTAATATATTCAGCACTTCAAGTAGGAGCACAGTGTTGCACCTCTCATACAGACTTATTTCCCTTTGTCATGCCAGGATTTGCTGGTTACCAGGGTTAAACTTCCATGAAGAAAATCAGTCCATGTGTTAAACAGCCTGAAAGTGGGAAAGAGAAAACCAGCATAAGACTAGAATGGATTTAAGAAAAATACATCTAATGGAGAGTAGGTCAAGCCAGTATTTAACTGAAATTGGCCGACCAAAATTCTCAAAAGCCAACTAAGACATATCAAAAAATACTATTTTCTTCCTGGGCTTGTTTGTTTAACCGTGAAATGTCAGATATAAACATTTATCAACAAGTACTACATATGTGTATATGTGAATATAGGCTGTGGACTGACCCACCAAGCCACTGAATTTTTAAAATCAGCCTGCTGCTATTTACTGGTGACTTGCCAAAGGAACAGACTTAGTTTTGGCTGCTTGAGCATCAGAGACTTACACTGTGTAAGACCTCTGCTGGCATTCACTAAACATAACTAACACTATATAATAGCTGTGTTATTGAGCCATTCCGCATTTGTCAGTTGTCTTTTAGGCATTGTCACTGCACATACTTGCATACTTTTCTGTACATGCTTGCATACCTCACTGCATATATTTACTTACCTTGCTGCATGTAATTGCGTACATCACTGCATATACTTGCATTCATCACTGCATATACTTACATAGATCACTGCATATACTGGCATACCTTGTTACATATACTTGCATTCATCGCTGCATATACTTGCATTCATCACTGCATATACTGGCATACCTTGTTACATATACTTGCATTCATCGCTGCATATACTTGCATTCATCAATGCATATACTTACATAGATCACTGCATATACTTGCTTACCTTGCTGCATATACTTGCATACCTTGCTACATATACTTGCATACACCACTGCATATACTTGCATACATCACTGCATATACTTGCATACCTTGCTAAATATATACTTGCATACCTTGCTACATATACTTGCATACATCACTGCATATACTTACATACATCACTGCATATACTTGCATGCCCTGCTGCATATACTTGCATACCTTGCTACATATACTTGCATACACCACTGCATATTCTTGCATACATCACTGCATATACTTGCATACCTTGCTGCATAAACTTGCATACCCCGATGCATATAAGTGCATACCCGGCTGCACATACTTGCATACCCCGCTGCATATACTTGTACCCCCCTCAGCGTATAGGCATAACGAACTTTATGTATGAAGATACTTGGAAAGGTTTGAACCTATACTTTCAATGTTTGCATGTTAGAAGAAAGTTGTTTAAACTACAGTTATGCTTCCAGTGTAAAGTCACCCCTGCAGGTCGTATATTCCGGTTACTTAGCAACAAGTGTGGTCAAGGGTCTGTATGACCTTCCATGCATACCAAGCAGTGAGAAGAATTGCAAGGAGTCAGACATCATTACTTAGGTGCATTTCTCTTGCACTATTTGCATTATCCAATGCTACTATTTTGTGTGTGTTAGATGACAAAGTCCATATTGATATTGGTGGGACAAACAGCATGTTATTCCGTACAGCAATTGTGGAATGTTTTTTCATGTATGTATCAGCCAGCGTGATGAGGTTTTATTTCACTGACAGCTGCAGCAGTAAGCTGATATGGTCATACTGAAAAACAGTACCAGTGTCAAATATATCCTACTTGGGGTTGATGCAGTGATGCTATAATGCATTGACAGCAGGTGAAGTTATGTGTTGGTTTAAACTTCGGTTTGTTTGAAATTAAGGGGGTTCTGAAGCATTTATTCTATAGTATTATTAATCTTGGGACCTCCTAAATTGATAACTTACGACATTTGGGTTACCACAAGGATCCCTTGATGATTATGCTTAATTTCGAACATCGCCTGCTCAGTTTACGGTGAGCAGCCAAATTACATGACAGACAGCCTGCAGTGAATAATACTTTGCACAAAAACACACAAAGTCATTGTGCTTTCTACATATATCTTTGTTGTTATGTTGAAGTTCAGGTCATGTGACTACCCTACATAGGCAATATGCCTACCATGTGACGTTGGGTCGAAACGTTCATGAAAAAATACCCACAGTATCTGTGTTTGAAACATGGTAAAGATAGCAAAACCAAGGCCATTCGGTACACATTGAACTCTGCAGTACTGATAGTTCTGAGAAACCATTGTAGTTTGTCTATTCCAAGTTTCATGATTTGGGATATACCGTATTCGACATGATAAGCGCCCAGGGCGCTCTCAAAATTAGAAATAGGGGGCTCTTATTAGAATATATATTTTTTAGTTCAAAGAGCGTAAATTTCGTGGTTTATGCTGAAATGTTTTTAAACGACAGATATATTTTTCCAGAATTTAATTGCCCATAATTAAGGGTGCATATAACAAACGTATTATGCTCGATTAAATAGCCTTGTGTACATTGATCAATCGGAAGGGGTGCTAATTAGGATTGTTCACTAGCCAGTATATTAGAAAATATCACCCTGGGCGCTTATTAGAGCGGGGCGCTTATTACGTCGAATACGGTAGTAGGTGGCAGTTTATATTTTAAGGATAAAACACTTCTAGGGTTTGGTTGAAACTGTGATCTCTGGAAGGGACCCCCTTGGGTGTTTGATCCAACTTATGAACAGTCTATATGTAAGAAAACTTTGGGATACCTTATAGTGAGACAATACAGTGTGTTGTCTAAAGGGAATTTAATGAAAGCATGCAAGAGAAAGATTATGTGCAGCATGCACACATTTAAAGTCATGTCATGTAAAATTGAACGGAAATTATCACTTGCTCCCATGGCCGAGTGGCAAAACATTGGTTTACAAAATTATCACGATATGAGAGGTTGCAAGTTAGAAACATCGAGTTCAAATTTTATCTGCTACTCAACTCATCAGGTCTTACTAGGAAAAAGTAAAACCCCATACCCGGGATGTGGTCTTACGATAAAAAGTTAAACCTTCCAAGAGGTTATAATGAATATATCTACAATTCAATAGGCAAAAGATGCAGTAGGTTTAGAAGTGAAACTTGCTGTCACAGCTGGTGTTCCTAATCAGATCATTATTATAATAGTGTAGGGTCCACTTAATGTAACAACTGTATATAGCGGTTACTTTACAATAAGAAAACAGTAACCCTGCCTGCATTAAGCCCTGGAGATTTGTTCAGTATCTCAATGTATTGAATGCTCTGTGCAGATTCGGGGGCACGGGTGGCCCAATCGTCTAAGGCGCCGCGATTCGCTGTGCAGAATTGCGTCCCTTAGGCATGCTAGAAACCTATGATTGTGGGTTCGAATCCCGTTTCGCCCCGATTATGTTTCCATGTTTGTCAGCACCATACCCGTGCTCGTGGGTTTCAACGAAGTGGTAAACGTCTGAGACCTGCATCACTTCGGGCTTTCCTCCCACATTAAGCTGACATGCTGTGATATGACTGGAATACTGTTAAAAGCGGCGTTAAACCCAACTCACTCACTCACTCACTCACTGTGCAGATTCAGATCATGACTGGTACTTGCTATACTTGTATTTTATAGTAGTAACCTTCATGTGTACATGGAGTTGCTGATTCTTTTCGTTGATTTTTGTTTCGTTTACTGTGCAATATCATGTGCACAATATCTATCTGCACACTGATTGGTTACTCCATGTGTGCAATCTGCAGTGTGATTGTTAAAATTAGTGCCTTTTAGTTATTTGTAATGGTATCATGGCAGCCACTGTACCAAGCTGTTTGACACTATTGTGTAATGAAGTACTAAAAGCAGCTTTGTATTGCAGCATCCTGCCCCCATGTTGTCCAGGCTCCCACGGTTATTGCCATGGTCGGGCTGCCGGCCAGAGGAAAGACATACATCTCTAAGAAGCTGACACGCTACCTCAACTGGATTGGAGTCAGTACAAAAGGTAAGTGATGTTGTTTGTAACAGGACCTGGGCTGAGGAGCCGTGAGGATCCGGGGTAGAATAGGTCTTCAGCAAACCATGCTTGCCGTAAAAGGCGACTGTGCTTGTTGTAAGAGGCGACTAACAGGATCAGGTGGTCAGACTCGCTGACTTGTTTGATGCATGTCATAGTATCCCAATTGCGTGGATTGATCCTCTTGATGTCAATCACTGGATTGTCTGGTCCAGACTTGATTATTTACAGACCGCCATCATGTAGCTGGAATATTGCTGAGTGGCGCGTTAAACAACAAACAAACAAACAAAACCAGGGTTGAGGTTGGGATGTGGAGTAAATGTGAATGTTAGTTTGGTGAAAGCGCTGTGTGGTTTTTCCCTGTTTTATTAATATTCCAGCAATATAGGTCATCACCAAGAATGGGCTTATGACATTGATTGTGAGGGGGAGGTCTAACCCTGTAATCACTAGGCTTTCCTTAACCTGTCAGGGGTGAAGCTCGCACAGATCCTGTAATCATCCATACTCGCTCATGTTCACTGATGTAGGGAGAGTCAGTTAATGTATCTTGTGGTGGATTGAGAATGTGTGAAAAAAACGGATAATGATTCTAGTACAATAAAACAGACAGATATGATCAGCTGTGAAGTGGGTGGTCATATGAAGCAGTAGACAGTTTCTAGAAAGGCAGGTACATCTCTGGTGCCAAGTGTCTCCCAGAACCAGGGGTTTATTTCGTTCAAGTGGATTTTCAAAGTGAAAGGCACTTGAGACAATCTCTTCCTGTTCATGGAGGAACAGGGTGCACTTGCACCCTTGCAAGTCGGATAACCCCAACCTCTTCCGTTCAAGAATAATAGTACAAGTGACATCAGATTTGAAAGTGTTTGTTCTGTAAATTGAGCTTCTCATAAAGGGTAAAAGACAATATATTGTATTTAACAAAAAACTGTGTCATCATTTTTGGATAGTTATGGTACTCCTACTTTTAGGATCATTATGGTAATTTGTTACAGCCTGTAATGCATTTGAACCGATTTTATAGACGTGCTACAACAATATCAACAAAAGAAGTAGCCTTTTGCGTGTGACCTTTATCCGAGAATGGATTACAAGGGAAATGTTCCAAATTATTTAACCTTATTCAAAGAAAACAGGTACAAATCATGTTTATGTATGGAAATAGTTACTGGAACAGTTATTTAGGACGAAATGCGAAGTTTTATTGTCAAATGCTAGGCTGGCTATCGAACGCCGATTGACATTGCCAGTGGAAGCTGAAAGTAAAACACCTGGAAAAAAACGTGAGATCTTCTACTCCGTGTATAAAACAACCCACCCTCATTCTAGGTACGAAAAACTCGCCTTATACACAGCGATATACGGTAGATTGAATGTGAGTGGTCAAAACCTGATTTTTCCTTATCGCGAGAGTAGACTGTATTATTTGTCTTTCTTGCCATTACACAACAACAAATTTTACTCATGCAGAGGAGAGTTCCCACAGCCAGGGAGCATACATTGTGGCAACTGTTATATATTGTAACAGCACACTGAGTATGTCTCATCCTGATCAGAAGGTCAGTCAGACAATGAGTGAGATTCACTTACCAATCCACTTAATCCTGGGATGCAACTTCAGCCTCCATCCAGCCACAACCAAATAGTTTTTAAGTCTACAAGCCCGAACTTGTATTTTGGCATTACTTTCTGTAGATTTTAACCTTTGTGTATGGACTAGTATAAGCTGATCCTACAAATGTCACTACTCCTGTCATTTTACCTGATGTTAATGGTGTCCTTGGGGCTAGTATGACTTCAGGCCTTTTAGGTGGTGCCCTTATATGTTATTTGTGCTAGTAAATTTGTTGCATCCCGACTATATCTGATGCCATCACGGAACTGATCCTAGGAATGAAGGGAGCTGTCTGTTGGGGAGGCAGAGTGTTTCCCCCTAATGTGACGACTCCACTGCAGGCTGTTGACAGAACCGTGGAGGATAGATGGTAGAGGGTTGCAGTCAAGTAGATGTTACCTGGTGCTCCCTGATGGTCAGCTGGAGAATCAGATAACACTGTGACATGGCAGAGATCAATTGTTAATCTATACTACTCAAAAGAAGTTAAAGAACACCAGCTAAAATGCACGTACATATGCAAATATGGGAAGGTTATTACACACGATCGTTCTTCCCTTATGGGCAATATTTTCAGCTTGTCCACAACTCATGAGCACTGCACGAACATGACAACACTTTGGTAGACCATGGTCCATAGACAAAAGATTGGAAATCTTCTTCATGTGTTGCAGGTTCTGTTTCACACTGTGATATCAAATCCCATCAGTTCAAGCTGTTCTCTTACTGACATGGACATGAAGATCCGCTTCAGTGTGTAACCCTAGCCACTAGTCTGAATAAACAAACTGTTTTGGTCTGGAAAACTTTGCTTATATTAGTCCCTTTGAAATCGATGCCTGACTGATCTCTTAGTTGGGGTTTGGAGACTCAGGAGACTATAAAGGAAATCATTAAACCGTGACTGTGTTCCATTCTTTGGATCCATCAGCCTTGACTGGGACTTGTCCACTCGGGACCAACTGTGTTCTATACATCAGATCCTTCAGTCTTGACTGGGACTTGTCCACTCGGGACCAACTGTGTTCTATACATCAGATCCTTCAGTCTTGACTGGGACTTGTCCACTCGGGACCAACTGTGTTCTGTACATCAGATCCTTCAGGCTTGACTGGGACTTGTCCACTCAGGACCAACTGTGTTCTATACATCAGATCCTTCAGTCTTGACTGGGACTTGTCCACTCGGGACCAACTGTGTTCTATACATCAGATCCTTCAGTCTTGACTGTGGCTTGTCCACTTGGGACCAACTGTGTTCTGTACATCGGATCCTTTAGTCTTGACTGGCTTGTCCACTCAGGACCAACTGTGTTCTATACATCAGATCCTTGAGTCCTGACTGGCTTGTCCACTCAGGACCAACTGTGTTCTATACATCAGATCCTTCAGGCTTGACTGTGGCCTGTCCACTCAGGACCAACTGTGTTCTATACATCGGATCCTTGAGTCTTGACTGGCTTGTACACTCAGGACCAACTGTGTTCTATACATCGGATCCTTGAGTCTTGACTGGCTTGTCCACTCAGGACCAACTGTGTTCTATACATCGAATCTTTCTGTCATGCCTGTTATGAAACAATGGAAGTTACGACACATCAGTTCAGTCAGCCTTGACTGTTGCTAGGCTACTCAGGGTTATCTTCTCTGCACATTGGATCCATCAACTAGTCATCAGACCTTGTCAATTACAGTTGTAGATTTGTCTTTTGTCTAGTTCATATTCATCCACATTTTTCATTTTAGTAAATCAATTTAAGGATTATGTTGAGTTTTTCTGTCATTGCAATTAGCAGAACATTCTGTTTGATCAATGATGTTGCTAATATCTAAAACATTATATGAAGTAATCAACAGTAGTTAAGGTGAAGTTTTTGAAAGTACTTAATGTCTTTTAAATGGTATTGTTCTGGCCTGTTCAACAAAGTGATCAAATAACTAAGGCTGCGTTAAAGTATGTGAGTTCATGTAACGAACAGGGCCAAGGAACCATTTGCTTTTAGATTTGTAGTCTCAAACTTTGATCTGTTCTGGTAAAAAGGTTTATTGTTGATAACCATAATGTTATTCCTACTTGCAGACATCTTACATACAAGTATACTGAATATATATAGAGAGAGTAACTGTTGAATCATCTATAAAATAATTGTTGAGAGCATGGTTCTCACATGTGGGTTCATGAACAAAAATAGTTCAATATTGTTGGCGAAGTACACAGTTCTCAGCTGCTGCCAAGTGGTTGTGAGGGAGATGAGGCTATTCCTAGCCTGAAGCTGCTGATGCTGTAGATACACCATGCTGGTCTAAGTGTATATATAGCCCTGTGCAGTGCAGTCACACCAGGGCCCAGTGAAGGCTCAGTGTTGAAGTTGAGCATTCAAGGGCCACAGTCCTTGTGATAATTCTGTAAAACATGAGTGTTTAGATTTAATATAGCAGAAAACCTCAAAGACACCAGGGCCTGTCTTTCTGTACCCAAAGTCATTAACACAAAGACATGACACAACAACAAGCAGCAAGTGTAAAGTAGGTTACTTCACTCGAACCCTGGGACAGTAGTAATCCTGTTCAAAGTTCGGATGGGCCCGCCTGCTTGAATTAAGCTATTTTCTATCATTGTGTGTGTCTGATGTTGCGTGCAAGACTGCCTCAGTCACAGCTAACTGTGGTGCAAGTTAATACGACTAAAATAAATATGACATTCTGTTGTACTGTTCCGTGAATGGCATGTGTCGGTAACTGTTGTTTGAAATTATGCACTACAATCTCATCAAAAGTAACAAACCAGGTTCCCATGCACTACAGTCTCATCAAAAGTAACAAACCAGGTTCCCATGCACTACAATCTCATCATAAGAGAACAAAAGGTTCCCATGCACTACAATGGGATACAAGCAGGATAACTTTAGTTAATTTGTCTTTAGTGGCCGTATACAGCTGAAAGTGGCATAAAACCCAACTCACTATCTCAGAATCATCAGGGAACATATAAGAAGTCGCTGAGCTGCAGCAATCAGTGTGAACAGATAGTTTAATGTAGTTGCCTTGTCATCAGTTGACGAGTTTCATATACTGTGTTTTTGTGTTCCAGTGTTCAATGTGGGAGAGTACCGTCGTGCAGCTACCAACAAGTATCGCAGCCATGACTTCTTCCGCCCAGACAACAAGGAGGCACAGGAGATACGAACGTCAGTAGGAACATCTCACCTCCCAACATTCCACTGTTCAAATTTATTCTCAGTCATTGTTTAGCTGGTAGACTTCCAATGCCAGCATGATTTTCAATATCCATAAGAACGGAACACATTTGTTGTAATTACAGTGAATGTGTATCATTTTACATAACTATTGTGTTAGACATGAGTATTGTGGCGTTTTCTCTGAGGCCTGCCTGGTTGTACGTATGGCACAACGATGTCTTCTTCATCCGTCAAATATACAGTTAGTTGTGGTGGACCGATCAGCACTGTATATTCAAGCATATTTGAAGGATCAGTACCTGGAGATTAACAATCTCAAAACACAGCTGTTCACTATTAACCAAGTTGGGGTGTAAAGATATAAAAAAAAGATAGTGTTTGGATGTCAGGACTGTTTCATTTATGACAAGTGAATACCGTATTCGACGTAATAAGCGCCCCGCTCTAATAAGCGCCCACGGCGATATTTGCTAATATATTGGCTAGTGAACAATCCCAATTAGCACCCCTTCCGATTGGTCAATGTACGAAAGACTTATTTATTCGTGTATAATATGCACTCGTGTGTTATATGCAATTAAATTCTGGAAAAATATATCTGTCATATATGAACATTTCAGGCTGTCAGCATAAGCCATGAAATTTATCTTTCAACCTGTTTTTTTTTCTCACCAAAATAATATTCTAATAAGAGCCCCTATTTCTAATTTTGAGAGCGCCCTGTGCGCTTATTACGTCGAATACAGTAGTTTAAAATCAGAGATTTCATGAAAACAATACATTAGAGTACTCTCCTTTAAAAACATACCTGAAAGATGTGAAGATTACCCAAGCCAATATTATCCTGTTAATACCAGAGGAAACTGATTCTCAAACTCAATGGAATGAAGATAAATAAGTGATGATATGTGTTAAAATATATTGTTGAATGATATTTTGAGAGATATTTTTGTTGTGAAAAGGTGGTGTAATTTGGTGTAATTCCTTTCATTAAAGATGGTATAGATTGTAAAAGAAAGAATATTACAATATATAAAAAGATGTTTGTACATGGGGTCTCCAAATACCACCCATTCACTATTGTCTTACACCCCTAACAAAATAAATAAGTAGATCCCAAGAGGCTAGCTTCCATGCCCTGCTCACTGCACTGATTCAACCGATTGGGATGGAATGCACTCAAGCGCTTTTCTACTGATCAGAACAGCTTCTCTCTGGGAATTCAACTGGTCCGGATGTAACCAACCCAGCTGCCAGTTTATAAGAATTAGGAATGAAATCACCAAGTAATGAAACTAGTTAATTACATGTTTCCCTGTACCTCCAGCAAGTGTAACAATTGTGTACTTGTTCCACTCTACAGGAAGTGTGCTTTACTGGCCATGGAGGATGCCTGCCAGTTCCTGGAGAACGGGGGAGAGGTCGGGGTGAGTATACATTGTGATTAGGGAATTTTGATTGTGTTGTCGATCACCCATGTCAAGATTACATACATTGTGATTAGGGAATTTTATTTGTGTTGTCACCCATTGTCAAGATTATATACATTGTGATTAATGGAATTTTGATTGTGTTGTCACCTAATGTCAAGATTACATATATTGTGATTTGGGAATTTTAATTGTGTTGTCACCAAGTGTCAAGATGACATACATTGTGATTAGGGAATTTAATTTGTGTTGTCACCCAATGTCAAGATTATATACATTGTGATTAATGGAATTTTTTTATTGTGTTGTCACCTAATGTCAAGATTACATATATTGTGATTTGGGAATTTTAATTGTGTTGTCACCAAGTGTCAAGATGACATACATTGTGATTCAGGAATTTTAATTGTGTTGTCACCAAGTGTCAAGATGACATACATTGTGATTCAGGAATTTTAATTGTGTTGTCACCAAGTGTCAAGATGACATACATTGTGATTCAGGAATTTTAATTGTGTTGTCACCAAGTGTCAAGATGACATACATTGTGATAGGGGAATATTGTATTGTCGTCCAATGTCAAGATGACATACATTGTGATTAGGGAATCTTGTGTTGTCGTCCAATGTCAAGATGACATACATTGTGATAAGCGAATGTTGTATTGTCATGAGGTTAAGAAATTACATAGGTTTGGATCAATGTTATTAAATAGTAAGATCACGTTCTGCCTCTTAGGTTTGAATTGGATCGGGTCTGCTGCAGGGATTCCATTTTCAGAACAGGTTGCCAGGATATCATGTTGAGATGCTTGTTCATAAAAATGGCTGATTACACAGCATCGTACCCCAGCTTCTGTTGTTTTTGGCCGTGCTTCCAGTCACTGGTGACCCGTGGAGATTCCGGGGTAGAATAGGTCTTCAGCAACCCACGCTTGTCGTAAAAGGCGACTAACGGGATCGGGTGGTCAGGCTTGCTGACTTGGTTGATGCATGTCATCGTATCCCAATTGTGTGGATCGATGCTCATGATGTCAATCACTGGATTGTCTGGTCCAGACTCGATTATTTACAGACCGCCGTCATATAGCTGGAATATTGCTGAGTACGGCTATAAACAACAAACCAACCAACCAATCCAGTCACTGGTTTGTCTGGTCTAGACTTGATACTTTACAGACTACCATAACATAACATGAATATTGTTGTCTGTGGCTTCCAACAACATTCACACACTCCCGGCCTCCCTCATTCACTGATATGTATGTGTTGTGGCAGGTGGTAGATGCGACCAACACGACCCGCGAGAGGAGGAAGATGCTTGTTAACATGTTCACAGTAGAGCATCAGTTCAAACTGTTCTTTGTGGAGTCCATCTGCGATGATCCTGAAGTGGTGGAGGCCAATATAAAGGTAGGAGGACATGTAGGGACATCCTCCAGCTGCCACCTGGACAAACAGAGCAGTCTGTACAAATCTACTCCAATGTTTCCTTGTTTAAATGCTTGACCTCTGAAAAACACAGTAGTCTCGATTAAACACCAAGCCATGATTAAATGCCTGGTGATTTTAAAGCACAGATTCTCCTTGTTATATCTTTGCGATAAAATGGCAGGGGTAACGAGTATCTGAAGAAATATATATGCCCGGGCGTATAATCAAGGAAGTTTGTATGCAAGTCTTGGTGACTTGGCTTATCGTGTCAACTGTGATGAATTACCTTGTCTATGGGTAATGCTATTTTTCAGGGCATTATCATTTGCCAAGTGAACCATATTGAAATGCTATTTACATGGTTTGTAGTAGGGGTGACTATTGGTCTGGAAATCACAATTGTGATAACTATTGATATTGAGAGAAACTTTTGCGATAACTATTGATATTGCAAGCAACTATTGCGATAAATATTGATAGTTTTCAGTGTATCATTTTAGATGGATTTTAGAGTTGAATTAAACCTTGGAACTGAAGTGACTGATTTGGTTTTTCTTTACCCTAACAATTTAAGTAAAAGAAACTTCAACATTTCCATGTGAAAATTACTACCACTCATGATCAAAAGAAAAACAAATTTGAACAGCATTGCATGTATTTTATTGATATGGTAAATACAATCGAAACTATCAATATTCCTAACTGAAATCGATACTATTGATCGGAAACTGATTTAACAATCGATTTATAGACTTCAAGTGCTTACCAATAGCAATATATCGATATTTCGATTTATCATGACATCCCTAGTTTGTCGTGGGACTAGACATTTGTGCTCTGTATTATCGTGGCATTTTATAATGTGATATTGTGTAACTGCTGACTACATATCCATGTTAGCTTCAGTGCCCACTTGGCTGATAACGTATTCGACGTAATAAGCGCCCGGGGCGCTCTCAAAATTAGAAAAAAGGGGCACTTACTTGAATATAATTTTGGTGAGAAAGAAAACAGAGTTGAAAGATCGTAAATGTCGTGGTTTATGCTGACAGCCTGAAATGATACAAAAGAAAAGTAAGTGCGTATCATACATGACAGATATATTTTCCAGAATTTAATTGCCCTCATAATTAAAGGTGCATATAACACACAAGTGGGTATTATACACGAATAAATAAGTTTTGTGTACATTGATCAAGGGGAAGGGGTGTTAATTTGGATACTATCCAATATATTAGCAATTATCGCTGCGGGCTTATTAGAGCAGGGCGCTTATTACGTCGAATACGGTAATTGAATGGGCGGGGCTTGTGTTGCATTATTGTGCTGGATGATGTCCCTGAACTCTGTTGTCTACAGTTATTTGCATGTGAATCATTAAATGAGCAGATCTATTGTAATTGAAGCCATATGTGAAAATTGTCATTGTGGAATTAAGGTTATTATTAACAGCTCAGTTGGTGTACATGATTAAATTTGCACTAGCAGACCAAGATTTATCCTTTGAGGTTTGTAATCAAATTTGCTGGCCAAGTTTTGTTGAGAAATCCCCTAGCCTGGTTCCTCCTTTAGGTGATTCCCAGCCTTAGCGGGAAACAATATTCCACCTCTTAGTCATCCAGCCAGTGGCGTTTTAATTATTCCGTGTAATCAGGAGATGCCAATTAGCATCATCCAGCAATAGCAATCAGTTGTACCAAAGTGCTACACTTATGGTTATTATCATTTTAAATATATATATATAGCAGTAAAAGCTGCAACTAAAATAACTCAATATTGGAAAATATTATTTCTGATAAAATAATAGTTTCAGATACAATTCATCCGATCATAACATCAAAATTCTTTGTTTGTCAGCACTATACACATACTCAAGGGTTTCACTGAAGTGGTAAACGTCTGAGACCTGCATCACTTTGGATTTTCCTCCCACATCAAGCTGACACGCTGTGATATAACTGGAATAGTGTTAAAAGCGGCGTTAAACCCAACTCACTCACTCACTCACTCACTCACTCACTCACTCACTCACTCACTCACTCACTCACTCAAAATTCTTTGAAGTTATATTATTGTGTATTCTTTTAACTGAATCATCGGTAGATAGGTAGAACATGTGCATACAGCTGTTTGCTATTTCTGTGTTATAGTTTACAAGAAAATACACACAGCAATCTTTATTTCTGTGTATTAAAAAAAGCCCAGCACCCTTTCAAGTTGTGTATGCATTAATCAACAACAAAAACTTGTCAGTTTGGCTTCAGCTCTTTATTGTATATGCTTTGTAATGATATGCCACTTCTCATCCTTTGATCCTCTGTTAGGTGTCACTTTTAACAGTGCAGCAAGAATAGCGCAGAACACAAGCAAACCAGTCAAAATTATAGTCCATAATAAGCAAATTCTGAATCTGCCAAGAAAAAGCTAGCCCATCCATATTTCAATGCATTCAAACTTGGAGTGTTGTTTCCCTTTAAGGATTATAGTGGGTACATCTATGGTCTTGTTACTGGATTATTGCCAGTGGAGATTATCTCCAAATAGTTGCCCTGTGCTACATGCAGTGGTTTCAGGGAGTGTAATGATTAGGACGATAGTACAGATGGAAAGAATGCTGACATATGGTTATTCAGAGTTGTATGAGTTATCCCCCCTGCATACGCCCATGAGATGGTGATTATGTCTCTCCCCACCACCCAATTCGTTGTCCACCTGTTCCTCAGGAGACATAGGTTGATGTGCCCTCCATGTTAGTTTATGTTCCCAAACCCAAAGAAGTTAAAGGCACGGGGAACATGAGCTTACATGGAGGGTACATCTACCCATGTCTCCCTCAAGAGCGGTGGACAACTTACAGTGTTATACCCCCGACCTAATAGGGTGGGGGGAAATATATTATACCAAGTAGTCCGCCCTTCCATGGACATATTCTTGTGTGACCTATAACTTGAAAACTACTGAATAGATTCTGTTCAAATTTGGTGAATAATTTTTATTCCTACAGGAGAGGTGCAGTGCGAACTTTAATTTTAGTATTTGGATTTTCTGAAAAAAATACAGCTATTCACTTGAATGTTTTTGCTGAAACATTTGTGATTCCTCAACTAGAAAACTACTTCATGGATTCTTTACAAATTTAGGGAACAGTTTCCATGCTAATAGAAGAGGTGCAGTGCAAGTTTAATTTTGATATGCAGATTTTCTGAGAATATTTGCTTTTTCGTGTTTTGAACTTAAATATATTTTTACTTTAACCATGTTAACATTTGTGCAACCTGTAACTGAAAAATGGATTCTTTCCCCCCAGTTGGGATACAGTTTCTATACCAATAGGAGAGGTGCAGTGCAAAGTTTGATTTTGATATGCAGATTTTCTGAGAATATTTGCTTTTTCGTGTTTTGAACTTATAAATATGTTATAGTCGAAGTCGGGGGTATAAGTGGGCCCTGCTCACTTTATGTCTTGTTTGATATATGTTGCAAGTACACAAGTAGTAAATTCAGAATAGAGCCAGTTGTATTGTGACATACTGTTTGTTTTGGACACAGGTGGCTCACTGGCAAGAATTGCATTCTGTAGTTTGAATGCCATATTTTCCCTAATATTGATCATTCGTTGCTAGAACCATTCACAATCATGAGTGTCACAAAAGTGGTAAGCGTATTTGACCTACTTCACTCTGAGCTTCACTCCTTCCCACAATAAGCTAAATCATCATGACAAAGCTGAAAGCTGTGTGTGGGTAAACCAACTGACTCACTGTACACAGGAAGTGAAGGTTTGCAGCCCGGACTACAAGGGGATGGACACCAATGAGGCAGTGAAGGATTTCATGCAGCGTATAGAGCACTACAGCGAGACATACGAGCCCCTCGACTGGAGCCACGACAGAGACTTGTCCTTCATACAGATATTCAACCAAGGGGAGAGGTTCCTAGTCAACAAATTAGCAGGTACAGTGCAATTACTGCAGTATATCATGGGACTTCCAGGTATCAACAACATATTTGATTTCAGGCACTGCCAGAAACTCAGGTGTGACATGAAGCCACTGGATCCAGTGTTGTAGGCTGGGGCAGTAGCTGGGTTGAAGTTGTCAATTTGTTTCATTCTTTTACAATTGCAAATGGCACCTTGCAGTAAAGCCGTTGCAGTATCGCTGTGGGATGCATAAAACCTCTTGTAACCTGTGTAATACTGCTACAACAAATTTATCTTACCGACATTTTTGAATATGACATTGTAATTTTTTTTTTTTTTAAAATTCAAAATTGATAGAAAACAGCTGTTTGATTGAGCTGAGGTTAACTTGTGCTGTGTCACGTGACTTTCATTGACTCGTGCGTGCATCTTTTTGCTCCGAAGCTGGGTATAAGGGACATATTCTCCCCCTTAGAAATCCACATGCAACCTGTCTTGTTTGTGGCGGGGTATAAGGGATTTATTCTCCCGCTGAAACCTTTATTTCCCTCTATAGCGGGATACAAATGTGTAGTATTTCATCAAGCTCACAAGAACCAATCAGATCTCATTATTCTGACATGGAAGTATGATAAGTGGGTTTTTTCGTCCCTTGTTAGGTTTTATACCTCTCGCCACCAATTTATATAATATACCCTGTAAGGAGAATTGGGGTGGAGAAAAGGTCTCTAATAGTAACACTAAATAATCAACTTTTTATGGATGTACTGTTACATTTATGCTATTTACATTTAAAAATATGTAATAAGTTGGTACGTCCAGGAATATTATGCATTTCAACAGTGTATTCCTGTAAAGAGACATGGTGTGTTTGATATGGATTGTTCCATTGATGTTTGAGAGTGGTGTTAACGAGCAGGAAGTGATGGGGAGCAGCTCACACTTGATGACAGATGGTCGTGACATCCTGCATCAGGATAGAGCAGGGGCCAGTGTAGTGTAGTGCAGTGTGTGTTTGTTGAGATACAAGTCACACTCTGTGTATGAATGTGGTACATACATTCTTGGTGCAACATCTCCTTGGTAGGTCGAGATACTTGCATTGTTTGGACATTGACTTATCAGCACCCAGATACATTTATTATGGGACATTGACTTATGATCAACATGCAAATGATACATATGTTTTATGTTATTGATTGATTGTTTAAGTCATTCAATTGTCTTTCCATCAGTTCACAACTTCATCTACCAGTCTCACTGAGGGTGATGCAGAAAATCTTGCAAGTTTGTGGAATTGCTCAGTATGATTCTGCAAATAGCCCTGCCTAATGGTTAACACATTCTCGCAGAGAACTTCAGACTATACCAGCCTTATTGTTTTCAGGTCATCTACAAAGTAGAGTGGTGTATTACCTAATGAATATTCACGTTCTTCCTCGGACCATCTACCTCACAAGGGTAAGTCTGTAACCTCATGTGATGTAATGTAGGGATATAATTGAAGTCTGACACTGCTCAAAGCAGTCTGACACCCAAGGTCCTGATCAGAATTGGTCTTCAGAACCCCATGCTTGTCATAATTATTAAGAGGTGACTAATGGGATATGGTGGTGAGACTCGCTGACTTGGTTGATGGATGTCATTGTATGCCAATTACGTGGATCAGTGTTTATGATGTCAATGTGAAAATTCACGTCTGCAGCTTAAATATTCCTGAGTGTGTCATTAAACAACAAACTATCCAACCCAACTCGCTCATTTGTGTCTGTGGCTCAGCAGAGTGTGTGGAGTAATCTGAGTGGCATTAGTCCAGAGTAATACAAGCAGCGACACATACATGCGCACATTCATGCACGTTGCTAAATGCAATAGTCTTGAATGCAGTGTTAAACCCCACCACATCTGTTATTGTAATGCCAAAGTTCATTGGTGTCAGAATGATTGTCATGCAGGTATGTTTAATCTATGCGCCTGATATGTTGTGTTGTTGCAGCATGGGGAAAGCATGATGAACCTCGGGGGCCGCATCGGAGGAGACAGCGATATATCAGAGCGAGGGCAGACCGTGAGTCCAACTCTCATTACATTATTGTACGAAGGCAGTACTATGCTTGCCTTCACAGTTGATTTAATGGATCAGGTGGTGCTCACTTGGTTGATAATGTGTTTTCCCCAAAAATATACGCCTGTAAAAAGACTCAATTACTTCTGCAGGAACAAAAGTTTGGGGGATATCTGATGTGGAAACTATCGATATATGTTTCATGATAATTGATTCCTGTAAGTAATTTCTTAACATTATTTGTTCGTTGAATGTTTACATAATTCACATTTCATGAATTTTTGTACATTCACTGGTCTCATAAGCAAAAAAACCAACTTGAGTATACTTGCAGTCTATTTACCTGAGGGGGCATGCGTCCCTTGGGCACGCCAGAAACATATGATTATGGGTTCGAATCCCGGTTCACCCCGATTATGTTTCTAGGTTTGTCAGCACCATACCCGTGCTCGTGGGTTTCGCCAAAGTGGTAAACGTCTGAGACCTGCATCACTTCGGGCTTTCCTCCCACATTAAGCTGACATGCCGTGATATAACTGGAATACTGTTAAAAGCGGCGTAAAACCAAACTCACTCACTCACTCAGTCACTTACTTACTATTTTCCTGAATATCATGTGTATTGTTTGCAGTATGCAGAAGCTCTGAAACGCTACATTGAGAAGGAGAACATTCCCAACCTGAAAGTGTGGACGTCGCAGATGAAGAGGACGATCCAGACTGCCAAGTTCATCGAGGCACCCAAGGAGCACTGGAAGGCCCTCAATGAGATAGATGCGGTTTGTCCTCTTGTCATAAATTATGTGTGTCGCGTTGCCATTTCAAGATCTGCTGGTTGTGGAATCCCATATTCACCCTGATAAAGAACATTGGTCTATCAGCATCATACTTGTACTTGTAGGATTTCACTGTGGAGATTCCAGGTTAGAGTTAGTCCCCAGCAAGCTCCGCTGGGGGTAAGAGGTGACCTTATAAATCAGGTGGTCTGTTATGGTGACTTGGTTTATTGTGTGTCATCATACCCAATGCCGTGGATCGGTGCTCACAATATCAATCATTGCATTGTCTGGTCCAGGAAGCTGTCATATGGCTTGAATGTTGCTGAGTGCAGTTTTAAACCACAAAGACACATACACACTCTTGTAGATTTATCAAAAGTGTTAAATATCTTAGACATGCTTCACTACCTCTGACTCACTGTTAGGACTGACATTTTGGGTCCTATAAACCTATCTCACTCAATGAGATGGTATGTGACATTTGCCTGTAAATGAATCATATTTTGAGTTTCTAGTACCTTGTCAGGCAAGTGTTGGTGTTTTGGTACAGGCGTTAGTACCTATAGCAAGCATCCGTTTCTTGGCAAAGGTGCAAGCAAGCACCTGTAGGGAAACGGTTTGAAAGAAAGAAAGAAAGAAAGACATGGATTAAATCCATGCTGGGTGTTCCTCAGTGTTGTTCACATTCTTACTGTGTCTGACCTGTGCAGGGTATCTGTGAGGGGATGACGTACGAGGAGATCCAGGAGAAGTACCCCGAGGATTTTGCTCTGCGGGACCAGGACAAGTTCCACTACCGCTACCCAAGTGGGGAGGTGAGCTACACAGCTGTACTCCAGCACATCTTGTAATTGATTCATGGACTCAGTGAACATTGCCTCACCTCAAGAAAGCCATTTTGCAAATTTCAAAATTAAGAATGAAAGTCAAGGTTTTCATGTCGTAACCCAATGTTAAAGGTGTAAGCGTCAGGGCACAGTACTTTTATATACTTAAGCAGGAACTTTGTCCAAGGATCTTGCTTTTTTTCTTACCCTGCATGACAGTAGGCACCTCTACTGGGATCTGGACCTGTGAAGGCTTCTTGGTCAAAATACATCCCCTTGCCCTCATGCTTGTTGTATTATGAAGCAGATGGTCAGGACTTGGAGTTTGATGACATACAATTAGCCCATGGCGTGGATTGTTTCAAATCACACGGCCTTCGAACTTTGTGCTAGTCTGCATGACTAACACTACTTAATTGTACAGTGGACAAGTGAAAATCCAGTTTGTTAGTCTCTCATTGACTAGTTGCATTTGATTGCTATGATTCTGAACGAGTTCTCAAAGAATTAAGGAACAATATTGATAAAAATATTGATGTTACATAGTAAACATTTTTTCTTGTACAAGCAGGTCTAGTTACACAAGGTTTCCACTGGTCCTCTTGACTAGTCTTAGAGAAAACAGCTCAACTGCCAGTCTCTGGTTTGCCATGTCCAGATCTTATGATTTACAATCCGCCATGATATAGCTGTAACATTGCTGGTGTTAAACGACATTCACTCTTTGCATGCCCTCTGGGTGGGAAACACCAGATGTTCACTACTATGTAATAAACCAGCATTATCTTTAGAAAGGTGAGCTTTTCACGACACAAGCTGTGCGTGTTTAAACTCCCAGTATCAATATTGTTTGTCTTGGTTATGAATACTAATCAGATACTTGCTTTGTTTGACAGTCTTACCAAGACCTGGTTGCTCGTCTTGAACCTGTGATACTGGTGAGTATGTGATGACTGATGTAAGCATGGTTCGTGAAAGGTTTCTTGACACCAGGTGATCACAGCTAGGATGGAGTGTGTTGTCTTTACACAAGCTGAACACAGCTATTGACATTGAAATTGAAGAGTATTTTGGCTCTCTGATTTATGGGTATAATTTTTTGGTCTGTGGGCCATGCTTTGTTGAGTAACGACCATCTTGATGTTGCAGGAGCTGGAGAGACAGGAGAATGTGTTGGTTGTATGTCACCAGGCTGTTGCCCGCTGTCTACTTGCGTACTTCCAGGACAAGTCAGCAGGTATGTTCCTCAGACCGTTGTCAACAACCATCTTCCATGACAAGTTGGCAGGTATGTTCCTTCCTCTGATCATTGTCAAGCACCATCTTCCATGACAAGTTGGCAGGTATGTTCCTTCCTCTGATCGTTGTCAACCACCATCTTCCATGACAAGCTGGCAGGTATGTTCCTCAGACTGTTGTCAACAACCATCTTCCATGACAAGTTGGAGAGGATGTTCCTCTGACTGTTGTCAACAACCATCTTCCATGACAAGTTGGCAGGTATGTTCCTCAGACCTTTGTCAACAACCATCTTCCAGGACAAGTTGGAGAGGATGTTCCTCAGACCGTTGTCAACAACCATCTTCCATGACACGTTGGCAGGTATGTTCCTTCCTCTGATCGTTGTCAACCACCATCTCCCATGACAAGCTGGCAGGTATGTTCCTCAGACCGTTGTCAACAACCATCTTCCATGACAAGTTGGCAGGTATGTTCCTCAGACCGTTGTCAACCACCATCTTCCATGACAAGTTGGCAGGTATGTTCCTCAGACCGTTGTCAACAATCATCTTCCATGACAAGTTGGCAGGTATGTTCCTCAGACCGTTGTCAACCACCATCTTCCATGACAAGTTGGCAGGTATGTGTTGTGACTGAGTGCTAGGATTGACTATGACGGTGTGGGAATTTATAGAAGCTTGAGATGCAGGTAAAGGGACTTTCCCTTTTTTTTCTTTTCTGTGAATTTATTATTTTGGTTTTTTATTTTATGAAATAATCCTTTGTATTTAAATGATTATGTTCAGTCCTATTTAAGGAACAATACTACAGAACAATACCTAGCATGACATAGAACAAGATCCTGCTTGTTAGTTTGTGCATGTAGTAGTTAGTAGGGATGACATAGTAGACCCCTGTGTAACTCAGCACTCATGCCTCTGATGTCTCACAATGTCCTGAAAAATAACTCCTTGTACTTGTACTTGGGACTGGCAGCACTGAAGGTGTATGTAGGAACAGTCAAATTTGTCTACAGCATGTACGGATGCAGTGTTTGTGTCCTGTATCTCAACTATTGCAGACACATGGTCTGTATTTTAAAATATAATAGTTCTAATATGTCAAGAAAATTATTCCCATCCACCTCTTTTTGAAAAAGAATATCTGACATGTTTTTTTCAATTTCTCAATTTCTTTTTTGTACATTTACTCTCTTATTTAACTCTCTATCCTATTCTAATAGCTATTAGGTCTTTACTGCATGCATGTCATAGAAGATGGCTACAGCATTATCAATGGTGGAGTTGTTTAGTTGTTCAACTGTGCTTGCGTAGGTTGGGACCTACTGGAAAACCCATGCCAGAACCTTGACAAGATGAGAGGGAGATACATGTTGTTGGGTAGCGGGGTGGACCATTGATGCCTCAAGTAAAATTGATGGTGTTGTTGAGTAGCTGGGTAGAACATTGATGCTTACTGTCAAATGCTTTGGGTTGTGCAGAAGCTGGGTGGACCATTGATGCTTCCTGTCAACTGATGGTGTTGTTGGGTGGCTTGATGGATCATTGATGCTTCCTGTCAAATGTGTGGGGTTATTCAGTGGGTGGGTGGACCATTGATGCTTCCTGTCAAATGTGTGGGGTTATTCATCAGCTGGGTGGATCATTGATGCTTCCTGTCAAATGTGTGGGGTTATTCAGTAGGTGGGTGGATCATTGATGCTTCCTGTCAAATGTGTGGGGTTATTCAGTAGGATGGTGGACCATTGATGCTTCCTGTCAAATGTGTGGGGTTATTCATCAGCTGGGTGGATCATTGATGCTTCCTGTCAAATGTGTGGGGTTGTTCAGTAAGTGGATGGACCATTGATGCTTCCTGTCAAATGTGTTGGGTTGTGGAGTAGCTAGGTGGACCATTGATGTTTCCTGTCAAATGTGTGGGGTTATTCATCAGCTGGGTGGACCATTGATGGTTCCTGTTAAATGTGTGGGGTTGTGGAGTAGCTCGGTGGACCATTGATGTTTCCTGTCAAATGTGTGGGGTTATTCATCAGCTGCGTGGACCATTGAGGCTTCCTGTCAAATGTGTGGGTTTATTCAGTAGCTGGGAAAACCATTGATGCTTCCTGTCAAATGTTTTGGGTTCAGTCCCAGTGGAACAGTATACCTTCCTATAGCAGACTGTGTGGTTGTCCAGTGAATAATGGATGCTAGTTTAGTGTAAGTGTTCATAAACAACCATTTGACACAAAAAACATTGTCATCTATTATTTTCATTTTTTTTACCAATAATATTGTTTCTTAATTTCATATTTTGCCAAGAGCTTAAGCTTGATGCACAAGTCATAATAGATGTAAATACATGTATTTGGGAAATTCTGTGGATTGCCATATCAGTTCTGGACCAGTGTTAGATATTACTGAACATGAAGGGGTCCAACTTGATGAATTGACCAGTGGGAATGAAGCTACCCTATTACTGCAGTGTTTTTTTCTGTTTATTACTCAGGTTCAGACACATGGATATTTATTTCCAGAACTTTATAGTAATTCATGACTCATAATTGCATGATTCATATAGATATAATATCTATTGTTGTATATCACTCCACTGCACTTAGCCAGACCAGCCTCACCAGCTTGGCATGCTGATCTGATCTCACTCCATTGAGCCATAAAGGGCAGATCAGCTTGGCTACTCTGGTGTCTGTCACTCCACTGTGCACTGGGCCAGACAGGGCAGATCAGCTTGGCTACTCTGGTGTCTGTCACTCCACTGTGCACTGGGCCAGACAGGGCAGATCAGCTTGGCTACTCTGGTGTCTGTCACTCCACTGTGCACTGGGCCAGACAGGGCAGATCAGCGTGGCTACTCTGGTGTCTGTCATACCACTGTGCACTGGGCCAGAGAGGGCAGATCAGCATGGCTACACTGGTGTCTGTCACTCTACTGTGCACCGGGCCAGACAGGGCAGATCAGCATGGCTACTCTGGTGTCTGTCATACCACTGTGCACTGGGCCAGAGAGGGCAGATCAGCATGGCTACACTGGTGTCTGTCACTCTACTGTGCACTGGGCCAGACAGGGCAGATCAGCATGGCTACTCTGGTGTCTGTCATACCACTGTGCACTGGGCCAGACAGGGCAGATCAGCATGGCTACTCTGGTGTCTGTCACTCCACTGTGCACTGGGCCAGACAGGGCAGATCAGCTTGGCTACTCTGGTGTCTGTCACTCCACTGTGCACTGGGCCAGACAGGGCAGATCAGCGTGGCTACTCTGGTGTCTGTCACTCTACTGTGCACCAGGCCAGACAGGGCAGATCAGCGTGGCTACTCTGGTGTCTGTCACTCTACTGTGCACTGGGCCAGACAGGGCAGATCAGCGTGGCTACTCTGGTGTCTGTCATACCACTGTGCACTGGGCCAGACAGGGCAGATCAGCGTGGCTACTCTGGTGTCTGTCACTCCACTGTGCACTGGGCCAGACAGGGCAGATCAGCGTGGCTACTCTGGTGTCTGTCACTCCACTGTGCACTGGGCCTGACAGGGCAGATCAGCATGGCTACTCTGGTGTCTGTCACTCCACTGTGCACTGGGCCAGACTGGGCAGATCAGCATGGCTACTCTGGTGTCTGTCATACCACTGTGCACTGGGCCAGACAGGGCAGATCAGCGTGGCTACTCTGGTGTCTGTCACTCCACTGTGCACTGGGCCAGACAGGGCAGATCAGCATGGCTACTCTGGTGTCTGTCACTCTACTGTGCACTGGGCCAGACAGGGCAGATCAGCGTGGCTACTCTGGTGTCTGTCACTCTACTGTGCACTGGGCCAGACAGGGCAGATCAGCATGGCTACACTGGTGTCTGTCACTCTACTGTGCACTGGGCCAGACAGGGCAGATCAGCGTGGCTACTCTGGTGTCTGTCACTCTACTGTGCACTGGGCCAGACAGGGCAGATCAGCATGGCTACACTGGTGTCTGTCACTCTACTGTGCACTGGGCCAGACAGGGCAGATCAGCATGGCTACACTGGTGTCTGTCACTCCACTGTGCACTGGGCCAGACAGGGCAGATCAGCATGGCTACTCTGGTGTCTGTCATACCACTGTGCACTGGGCCAGACAGGGCAGATCAGCATGGCTACTCTGGTGTCTGTCATACCACTGTGCACTGGGCCAGACAGGGCAGATCAGCGTGGCTACTCTGGTGTCTGTCACTCCACTGTGCACTGGGCCAGACAGGGCAGATCAGCGTGGCTACTCTGGTGTCTGTCATACCACTGTGCACTGGGCCAGACAGGGCAGATCAGCATGGCTACACTGGTGTCTGTCACTCTACTGTGCACTGGGCCAGACAGGGCAGATCAGCATGGCTACTCTGGTGTCTGTCATACCACTGTGCACTGGGCCAGAGAGGGCAGATCAGCATGGCTACACTGGTGACTGTCACTCTACTGTGCACTGGGCCAGACAGGGCAGATCAGCATGGCTACTCTGGTGTCTGTCATACCACTGTGCACTGGGCCAGACAGGGCAGATCAGCATGGCTACTCTGGTGTCTGTCATACCACTGTGCACTGGGCCAGGCAGAGCAGATTAGCTTGGCTACTCTGGAGCTGGTGTTCTTACTAATCCTGCTTAGTGTCTTGATCTTGCATGATCTGTGTCAGGTGCACTCTCCCATATATCATTTAATGCACATGAGTGATGTTATTGCTGCTCTAGCATATTGACCAATTGCATAGGCGCAATATCAGGGGAGAATTAAGTATAATACATTTCCTAAATTAGTCTTTACCTGGTGACTAAGTAGGGACAACAGTTTGTTAGGGCCAGAGACGTGTTGCCAAGGTCAGCTTGATATTAAGTACTAGATTGATTAACCTATTATTATCCATTCATCAAGCAGTATAGTGACGTTTTGGGAGGTGATACTCAATACATAATGTTCAATGAGGGTGATTATTTCAAGTTTTAGATATTTAGATGAAAGAGAAGGGGGGCAGTGTCCATGTTTGCATGACATGCTTGCTTGTTGCTTGTAGTGCTTTTGGAGACAGAATCTAGTTGGACTACAGGTATACCGGTATACTGCAAAACCATTTTCAAATTATACGTATTGCAATATTTTTTCTCTGTTCCCGTATATTGGTAAAGAAAACATAACAAGTTTCATTATTATTTGTATTGTTTAAACTGAAATCTACACAGAAATTCATTCACAAACGATGCTTCTCTTTGAAATTGATTGTCAAAATGGCGGAAATGCGAAAGTGATTTTTCCCTTACGTTGTTATCTCCCCTGTATCCATGACTACAAAATGTCAGTGACAGACCATGCTGACTTTGACATTGTAATATTTACTTCAGTGTGTAGAAAGTTGTATCTGCATGTACAATCAGCATCACTGTCAAACACTTAGTCTCAGTATGTTGCTATACAATGTTTTTGACAATAGACAGCCCTAGAATAAACTTTCCGTCATTTGAACTATAATTAGCTGTTATTTTGCTGACCGCAGTAAAACTACATTCACTCACACTGTCATTCAAAACGACTTGCTATCATCACCAGCAATTTGACTCTGCTTGTAGTACTGATGTGGCAATGATTTTAAGTATTCATTTAGTATTTAATTATATCTCTCAATATATAACTGGATATTTACTTCAATATTCCATTTATGCATCAATCTCAATGTATCATTTGTGAAAAATGCAAAATACAAAAGAATTCAAAAATTATCTTTTAAATGAAATATCTTCATAATGTTACATATATAAATGCCAAAGATCAGATCGGATTCATATTTGTCAAACAACTAATTTAGTCGTAGATTCATGGGTATATATATCCTCATTTCCTATTTGAACTTCATAGTGATTTGTAAACGCTGAAAGTTGTACCTACTTGACCTTTAATATTTGCATATTTATCTGTGTATGACCCCAACAAATACCTTTTTTGTCCATTGGCTTCATCTTGCCAAGACATATACCGTATACGACGTAATAAGCGCTCAGGGCGCTCTCAAAATTAGGAAAAGGGGGCTGTTATTAGAATATTATTTTGGTGGAAAAATAACGAGTTGAAAGATAAATTTCATGATTTATGCTGACAGCCTGAAATGTTTATGTACGACAGATATATTTTTCATGAATTATATTGCCCATAAGTAAGGGTGCATATAACACACGAGTGTGTCTTATACGCCAATAAATAAGTCTTGTGTACATTGATCAATCGGAAGGGGTGCTAAGTGGGATTGTTCACTTGCCAATATATTAGCAAATATCGCCGTGGGCGCTTATTGGAGCGGGGCGCTTATTACGTCGAATACGGTACCCATTATGTGATAAAGTAAATTGTGGGCCTTCTTTTGTGGCCACATTACAAATAGAACTGATTTAATGAAGAAAAATATTAGGAATTTTGTAAAATAATTGTAGTTTGGATGAAATGATGGAAGCCATTTACCAAACTAGAAGTTTGTTTCCTAACTGAGTTAAACTGAAAGACTGGTCAGAAAGAAAAAGAAATGAGATTTTATTACTTGTTGTGCTATTTTGACTCCGGACATGTTGTGCTAATATATATAACAAATATATGAAAATTACTCTCTAACTGACATGAAATAAGTAGAGTTTCTTTTGTTTTGTATGTGCCAAAAGTTTTGTCTCTACTAGTCCAAGTATTTCCTGCAGATCGTAGTTTTCATGAGCTTAATCCTTCAAAACTGAAACAAATTTGTATGAGACTCATTGTTCAGACTCATGACTTGAATCACCAAGTGCTATTAATGATTCCCTCAAACAGATTATGTCAGGAAAAGCTATCACTTGCATTTACTATATAGGAAGGATCTTTGACGTGTGATGCTCAGAAATTATCTGTCATTTTGGAAATCAATGCCAGAAATACATTTCCATTTTTGGTCCCTGCAGCTTGAGAAATCAAACTCGGAAATATTTGACAGCTTGTCAATATCTCTACAAAGAATGGTGATTAAGGTACCCATTAAGGGGAGACTGTTTAAGATAAGATCATTATTCATGTATCTAATCTGCACCGCTTTTCCCGATGCAGAGTTGTGGCCCTTGGGCACTCCCAAAACCCATGATTGTGGTTGCACTCAGATTATGTTTCTAGGTTCGTCAGCACCATAATAGTGCATGTAGGTTTCACCAAAGTGGTAAACGTCTGAGACCTGCATCACTTGGGGCTTTCTTCCCATATTAAGCTGACATGCCGTGATATAACTGGAATACTGTTCAAAGCAGCGTTAAACCCAACTCACTCTATTTAAATGATGCACTTTCACAGAGATAGTATCACAAATACACGCAGTACACATTCGTATCTCTTTTCTTGTTTTGCATGTTTCTTTCATACTGTCCTCTGTCTTGCTTATAGAATCTACCTTTCATTTATTAGTAAACATGCACAAGTTTTGTATTGTTTGTGCAGCTACCAGGCTTTTTATGAAACCTCTTTTAAACTCCTTTTTTCGCATAGTTTTGTTTATTTTTGTACTTTATTTTTTGGGTGATTGTATAACTATTCAAAATTGAACATAATTTATATTTTATTGACTGTTTTAGTTTCTAGTTGATGCTGGACACAATTCAAGTATTGTATGCATGACATTTTCTTCGGGACCCTTCGTCAGTATCACTTAATGTTTCAATGCTTTACAGTCATATGCACATTGCAGAAATACATCAAATCATTAATATTGTATGATTCAGGTTATTAGATTCGTTTGAAAAGAAAACAGTCATCAATGTTTTTGAAAATGCGTGTTTTCTTCTTTGCCTAATTTTTAGAACATATCCCTCACGTCCCTGTCCCGTTTGAGAAGGTCGTGAAAATGAAAATGAAGGGCCATTGCTGCGAGTGCGAACACATACCACTGCTCAGGTGGGCCTCTTGGCGGTGCGACAGTCTGGCATGTCGTTTTTATGTGTGTATGTGTGTATGTGTGAGAGTGTGTCAGTGTGAGAGAGCGTGTGTGTGCCTGCGGGTGCGTGAGTGCGTGTCTGTGAAGCAACATGCCTGCACAATGTTACCCTGGCTGCCAATTAACACTAGTAGGCATCTGAGAGTCATTCCAATGTAATACTGTGTGATGGAGACAGGTGGACAACGTGTTGACCTTGTCTCACAAAATATGTTGTGGAAAAACTGGTGAAAAAATTTATATCCATCCTCCTCTTTTGATCTGTATACATCTCAGAATTGATGCAGCCATTGGCTTTTCATTTTCGGTGGTATTGTCTTGGATATATCCAAAATAAGTGACTGGGAAGTCTTTTCAGTACAAACCCTGAGTGTGTCATTATATTTGAACTGATAAAGCAGAACCTTTCATGGACAAATACATCTATCCATGGAAATTGATTTGAATCACAAATACATTTGTGCATTGACAAGAACCCAATTTTGTCTTTGCTCGTCTGAAATCCACAGAACATTATAAGAGGAATTACTGGCAAGGACCAAAACATGTTATTATCGGATGCATTTAAAACAATATGTGACATACTGGGTCAATTATTTAATTGCTCTGAACTCTACAATGATAATGAGCTGAAAAATATTTTCATGGCATACACACAAATTTGTCACCAAAATATTTCTTGTGGTCACTGTTTTTGCGTAGAGTATTAGAAAGGTGTTGGAAGTTTCTTCTGTTATGACATCAAATAGTGAGAATGCTGACACTAATTTGGAATGGCTTTCAGTGGCAATAGTCTGCTTGTTACATGAGCTCCTTGGCTTCTGTTCATCACAGTGTAAAATCTAGCTATCTCATTTCCATCGCCAATGTTGTAAAACTTTCAATATGTAGGTGTGTTTCTTTTGTTTTTAGTGTGATGTATGTGCCTATGTATTGTACATTTCAAATGTTGTAAATCCTGATATGTTGACTTGTGATAGCAGCATGAGATATAGTTAAAGAAATATGTCCGTGAGTGACGGCTATTTCACCTCATGGGAGCGTAGCTTTTCTGGGTTATATTATCAGATAGCTAACCCTCATGGGAACTATCTTTTCTCTATCATCTATCGTATATTAAGCAATATCTACCCTTCACAGGGACTATTTCTTGTGTATCACCAATCATATGTTAACAGATAGCTAATCATCATGGGAACTATCTTTTACCTTTCACATGTCTTATATAAACCAATATCTACCTCTTGTAGGAACTATCTTTTACCAATCATCTGTACTATTTTAACCAATAGCTACCCCTCATAGGGACAGTCTGTTACATATCACCAATCTCATATTAACCAATAGTTACCCCTCATTGGGACAATCTGTTACCTATCACCAATCTCATATCAACCAATATCTGCCCCTCATAGGGACAATCTGTTACCTATCACCAATCTCATATTAACAATCTGTTACCTAATACCAATCTCAAAGGGACAATCTGTTACCTATCTGGGTTATTTGACTCCTGATGACATGAAACTGCATTGTTTATTATGAGACCAAAGGGTCATGTTTTTTTCAAAATCCAGACTATGAGTTGTGACTAAGAACACCTGACTGGTTTCTTGAAGAAGAAGATTATTTTATTATTGTGTCACACAATGTACATACAAATAAAACTTTGCTTCTCACCTATTAATGTACATTGGTCAGCCAGCATGGCCAATGAGACACTAAAAAGAAATATAGTCATAACAGCTAAAAATAGATAGTACTAAAACATTTCTACGGTTATACATTAAAGTAGCGGGGGGAAATAAGCAGATGTATCCTGTATCAAGGCACCTCTTGATCAGCACCACTGTCCGAAATAACTGCCTGCCCACCTGTCCGTGTCTGGTAACTTTTCCTTTTGGGCTACATGAAATTTTCCTCCACCTGCCAAACAACCTGGCAGATAATTTTAACACGACTTATGTATTCAGTTTTATTATAACTCTTGTAGATCCTTGGGGTGGTCGGGAAGCCTAGTGGTTAAAGCGTTCACTCGTCACGCCGAAGACCCGGGTTCGAATCCCGACATGGGTACAATGTGTGAAGCCCATTTCTGGTGTCCCCCGCCGTGATATTGCTGGAATATTGCTAAAAGCGGCGTAAAACCAAACTCACTCACTCACTTGTAGATCCTTAAGTAATTTTTAGCAATATTTAAAATGAATCAAGATGCGATTTGTCTCTTATTGTTTGCATTTTTTCCATACCTACAATGTCTGAATGCAGACAGGAAACTTTGAAGATGTGCAGGCAACACTTATGGGTCACCTGCCCAACTGTCTTGTTGGGTTTAGGAAATTATTTCAATCACTGATCAGAACCATATGTAGTGCCCAGTTAGACAGTTGGAAGTAATGTTTCCTTCATAGAAGCACTTCTTTATATGATTAATAATTTTTGAAGGCCCCAATGTGATGTCACACAAACTATATACAAAATTTGCTGCAGTAAACTGCAGGAATACACTAATGAAAAATATCATGACATCAACTGTTGACTTTCAAATTAATTCTTTTTGTCCGGAATACTATTGTGGTGCTTTTAGTTGTTTAAAAATCAAAGATCAGATTTTCTTTTTGAGAATTTTATTGGCAATTGATAAACAAATGTAAATAATTTCTTCATAAGCAATTAGTTGTCTTTGATGTGATGTGCAACCAACACAGTACATATATTAAGATGGTACACTTCTTGTACATAGTGCCCTTCATTGTACGAGTGTAACGATATATCAAACTATCTGTATAGCACTGTTGTTTACCCTATGATTGTACTTTACCGATAGTAATTTGTAAATACCAACGGTGTTGTCGATAGTATGGATGACAATCGATAGTTTCAATATTCACGATAAGTTTTATGTAAAACATAAATTATGCATCAGAAAACTCAGTTTTTATGGTCAAATTTCAAACCTGGTTTGTGTTCATTAGCGAGGATTAACAGATTACAAACTTCAAAGGAGAGTTACTTCCCTTTAATAGCAACAGGGAGCAAAATGGCCGACATTGTCAGCAATACTTCATTCATTTCTATTCTGTTGATTACTGGTAAAATAATTATCAAGCCTTAAGGATGGTTTAACACTATGGCAATACTCTAGTGTGGGACAGTATTGTAACACAATCATTATAGTTAAAATAGCTCCAGTAGTCTTCCCTATATATATATATATATATTGTGAGCCTGATGAAGTGTATGCCCCCCTGAGGTAGAGCACCAGTCTGTTGTGAAGAGTAGTTCATTGTTTTGATCCCTGATTTGTAAAGTGCCTCCTTGTTTTCAGTGAGTTAATGTTTGTTTCTGAAGGGGATAATACCTTGTACAGTGTCTTCAGAGTTTATCAATTTGGTTTTACATGTCTGTTAGCACCAATAACAACTTCCTGAATTATTTCCATGTAGATTTCAAAGAGCTTCAGATGACTCTTGCCCTAACTTGTTTGATCAGGGTTACAACATTCAAGGCCTCAGTAAAACATTCCGAGAGTTTTAGGTAAATGGTAGATGTGAGGGGACATTTCCAAATTTGACGCACCGCTGGTGTCCGATGCAGTTCCCTTTGTTCTCATGTTTTTAGTGAACATTTGACTTGCCTTTGCATGTGTTTGTGATGGATGAAACCAGTAGGGCAGGATATGCTCACCTTTGCGCAAAAACACATAGTATCATCACTATATGATTGAGAACATTAATTAGTGGCCTTAAGATGCTGGATAAACTTGAGCACATTAATCAGTGGCCTTTGATACTGGTCCGATTTGAGCACATTAATCAGTAGCTTGAAGATAACTTGCTTATAATGATGAGGGTATTTTGAGCAAACATCACCCTGCAATATGGAATAACATAATGAATAAATACAACACAAATATCATCATTCATTAACAGATTAGCTGTTAGCCTTGACGTAGGAAATATTTAGTTGAATCCACAGAATTTCTGGTTTGAATCCTGCGGGCAGTGTTTGTTTTTTATAAAATACTTTTTTCATCATAAAACAAAAGGATCTGTCATTGTGGATTGGTGTTTAACCAACAATTCAGTTAATACCGGATCAAGGACAAAAGAGCAATGGTTCAAAACATGGATAGCTCGAAAGAATTAAGATCCTTCTACAAGGCAGTGACATATGGCAGTATTTTGGCATATCTTTGCATTAGAATATTCTGTCCAATGACATGTCTGTATATTTCAAAGTATATACTAACCATCTAAAAACCAGTGTTGTATTATGCTTTGCTAGTATGTTTGTGTGTGGTGATTGAATGTTGTCAAAGCTCACCTATTTTGCTTGTAATGATGTAACACATTCTGCTGACCTGCGCAGTTGTTACCTTCAGCACTTGCTGCAATGCATGTTCCTATTCAGTGTGTTGCAAAATGTTTCAGTTACTTGCTCCACTTAACCAGCAGTGATAGTAATCTTGGCCTGTTGTCCACACATTTATTGCTGTATGTTGCCTGAAACTATATGGTTCCCTTGTAACCACCTTTCATTAAACCACCTTCACCTTCTTTTTCCCTCGATGTACACTCAGATTGCAGCAATGTTATGACTTCTTGTTGTGTGGTATATTTGAAAGTTGCCTGATTTTGTTCATCCATATCTGTATGACCACTCCACAAGAGGGTTCAGCTCTCTCCTGCAGTGGTGGACTAGTGACAGTTTATTACTGAGGGACTGTGCATGTATGGTGCTTTTGTCTTTAAATACCAAGTAATTATTGCGGCCAGAATGACAAATCTAAAATGGGTTAAGATAGTCAAGGATGCAGAGCTCCACAGGATGTAGCATTACATTGATGACGTGATGAGATCCGAACGCTAGTAACTGACCATTATCATGATAACAACATTGAGGTTTTGACAACACTAAGTATTCTGTATTCAGGACGGGACATGAAGCATTCTGTATACAGGGCATGAAGCATTCTGTAGAAAGGACACAAAGCATTCCATAGACAGGACATGAAGCATTCTGAAGACATTTGACATGAAGCATTGTGTAGACACTTGACATGAAGCATTGTGTAGACACTTGACATGAAGCATTCTGTAGACACTTGACATGAAGCATTCTGTAGACATTAGGGCTCAAGACATTCAGTTGATGTGACGTGAAGTTCTCTGTAGATTTGACATGAAACCTGTAATTTTTGCACGAAGCATTTTGTAGAATGGATGTGTGAAGCATTCCATAGACAGGACATAGCATTCTGAAGACAGGACATGAACCTTTCTCTAGACAGGACATGAAGCATTCAGTAGACAGGAAACAAAGCAATATGTATATAATGCTAAAAAGCAAGCATAGATATGATGTGAGTAACATGATATCGGCTAATAAGCATCTACATGCATGATGAAATGTTAGTTTCGATTCCGAGATTTTAACTTACTCTACCATTATTCAGTCTCATGAAAGCCTTTCCTGTTTTCAGAGGATCTGCCGTATTTGAAGGTTCCGCTACATACCGTGATAAAGTTAACCCCGGTAGCCTATGGTTGTAGAGTGGAGCTGATTTCCCTCAACATCGAGGCAGTCAACACTCACAGGGAGAAACCCAAGGTCAGTGGTCCCAGTATTCTTCACCATCTCTCCTTTCACACAGGCAGGAAAACAATGTTGTGGCTCTTGTTACATAGCTCACACTTTGTCGGGTCCAAGCAAAATACTCTATAAAAGCAGTGTTAGAAATTGGCACTAGTCCTGAAGTCTTTGCCAAACTGCCCAATGGTTAAGGTATGATAAGGACTAGTAGAAATTTGTTATTTTTAAGGGTTTTCAGCTATATGATATCATTATAAGGACTAGTGGCCTAAAAATGTTAGTTTCTACCCATGTAAAAGTATGTCAGGTGAAACTGATTTATTGTTTAGTTTTGTTAGATGTTATTGTCCATATTCAGGAAAAAAAATGAATTAATGATCCTTGATATTGAGGCTGATTATCTTAAAAGAACCACTTTGAAGAAGGGCTTTTTCCAAAATAATAACAAAATTATGTTGAAACTATGTTTTTTGAAACACAATATATTTGAAAATTTATGGTAGTTTTATCCAAAAATATGTCCTATCAATTAACGATAAGTCGTCTTTGAGCCACAACTACTTTCTGCCTTTTCTCTATTGACGTTGAATTTGGTGCATGTATTTAAGTACAGGTATTAATGATGCACTGATATTAAATACTGACATAATCTCCACAGATGTTTGAGTTGTGACTGGATCGTCATGGACTTCATACTTTGTCTTGTCTTCATCTGAGAAAACTGCAAGGTTGTGCTTCATACAATCATATCCCATAATATCATCACATGCTGACATTGTAGAGCTTATCAATTGATTGATAATCCATTTTCGACTGTTTGGTCTTGATATGGCCTTGTGAAGACTCTTGACTTCAGTGCTTTCCTTCTCAAGACAAAAAAGGGTCATCCAATTCTTTCATATTACCATAGTTAATCTGTCATGACATTTAAGGATCACCTGATTCTTTCTGGATATGATGGCCCACTGCATGTCAGTATTGTGGACCTGGAACAGCACGTGTGCCCAATCCATCCCTATTAGTCACCTTTGCTTTGTGCACATCAAGAATCTCAAGAGGTTAATTTGGCCTTATATTTTTTATCAGTTGGTTTACAAACATTTTGGCCAGAAATTCAATGTTTCTTGTAGTACAGCTACTAATGAATGAAAAAGAAACTTATTGGCCACTCCCTCATGGAAGTGTAATTGCGAAACGATGTGTTTTGGTTTTTGTTACAAAAGATTTTTATACATATTATTCACTATTTCTTACAAACATTAGTGATAAGAACTGTTGTTGTTTTCATGTCACCTAACTGTAAACAGTCAGTCCAAAAAAGTAGTGATTATTTTTTTTTTATCTAATTTCAGATTTTTTTAGTCAGTCGGTCTCATTATGCAACTTATAAAAAATATAAGGCCTTGTATTATAATACAGTATTGTTTCCTGTTGGTAGTGGCTGGTGATAGTACATGTACTTATAAGTTTAATCTTACAGTAATGTCAAGTACATGGTAGTTGTGATCTTGCCACAAAAGTATTAGGATATGTGAACTTGTGCCTTTCTTTCTGTTACAGTAATTGTGATGAATGAAGAGATCAGAAATAACATGAAACATACAGCATATTTGACAGATAAAATATGAACCATTAGTTTTCACTGAAAAACGAAACTTAACTATATATAAAATGGCCAGGGAAACTTTATTGTGATATTAGTGTGTATTGAGATGGAACTTATGTGTGTCGCTGGTAATGTTTTTCTAACCCTGTACCCACTTCACATTCAAATAACCAAGGCAAGCTCCTCACAGCGATAGCCCGTTCGGAGCTCTCTATACTATCGCTGCCACCAGTCAAAACTCCCCACTGTGATAGGTGGTCACAGCCCAGCTTGGAGTTGAACTAGCAACCGACGGACCGTAATGCTTACAAAAAGTGATGACTACCAAGACACTGAATACTCTTACCCTAACAAAAATTATTTTATTTGTTTGTCAATTTGAATTTCTATTTCATTTCAACTATCATGTAATTGGTATGGTAAGAATGTAAGGAGGAATTTAAGTGATCTTTCGATAGTCTGATCAAACAAACAAAAAGTTAAATTCATCTGGGAAATATGGTCAGTCGTAAACCTCTTCATAAATAACTGTATTGGCATTCCCAAAGACATAAACAAAAGTATAAACGTTACTACATTTGGGGTTAGAGGCCAAATTTCAAGATTCTTGTAATGGCCCCGCCCACACTGGTGGCAGCGATGTTACTGAGAGTGTAACGAAGGTGCCCCACGCTGGGAAGGAGCTTGTAACCCAGATAATAAGGGGAGGTAAGTCTCAGGTGACGCCAGTCATATAAGGTTGGTGAAACCCTTATCACATGGTGATTGACTTAGAAAAGTTAACTTGTCATCTGTTCCCCATAAATATTATCAACAAATCTGATGCTGTACATGTATTACTCTTGAATCCTATCATATACACATGCCAGCAGAGGCCAATGTGATGTTAATAAATGGCTTATGTCTCTACTAAAACTGAGCATGTTTCTGTGCTTACCTTAGGGTCATATTCTCTTGTGCATGATTAACTGATGACAGACATAGAACTTGAGAACCAGCTCAATGCATACTGTAAATCTTGAAATTAATGCGAGCGTGAATTAAATGCGAAAAATGCGGTTGCATGGTCTATGCTCGCATTATTTAACATCGCATTTATATCAACAATAAGACATTTTGGATAGCAGAAATACCAACTTAGACATATGTGAAAACAAACAGCTATGTATTCCACATCACTGTTTATTGAGCAGCACTTATATATACAAGTATATAAACAATGTGATTCAAACACTAATTACATCCTGTGAATTGTCACTGCGTCAAAGGCCGACATGTATTGCTTCAGCAGAAGTATTCTACTCAGCGCTAATAAGTGGTGCTATTTGGTGTCTGATTGGATTAATGTAAGGTTGGATTAAGGTGAGGATTCTCCTGTAAACCTGACAGAGGGATTGTCTTTAGATGTAAATCCACTGATGCCTGAGAAGAGGGGGATGTCCCATTCATATTGAGGCGCATTTTTGGCTATAGGCCTCGGTCGCATTCTTTTGGAAACGCATTAATTTCACGATTTACAGTATTTGTTTAATACATCACATAGGCTAGCCTAACCATATGTTTGATACATCACATAGGCTAGCCAAAGGCATATATTCTGGATATATCACATGGCTGGGCTAGCCTTGTAGTTGTTTATGTTATTAAGGTGGTTAATGGATGTTTTGATAATTTGTCTGTAAAGTCTATTTATGCTTATGTTAAAAGCACCATCGTCATGCCAAACAAGATGTCTTTCAGAGCTAGTTTCTTCTTAGGCAGTTTGTTGTATTGAAGGGACAGTAGTGTTTTCATGTGACCAACAGTAACTGCAAAGTAGTAAGCTGTTGGATCAGCAACTTGTCATGTTGTTTCATGTGTTGTGGGGGGGCACAGGTGGCCCAGTCATCTAAGGCGCCGCAATTCGCTGTGCAGAGTTGCGTCCCTTGGGCACGCCAGAAACCTATGGTTGTAGGTTTCTAGGTTTGTCAGCACCGTACCCGTGCTCGTGGGTTTCACCGAGGTGGTAAACGTCTGAGACCTGCATCACTTCGGGTTTCCTCCCACATTAAGCTGACACGCCGTGATATAACTGGAATACTGTTAAAAGCGGCGTTAAACCCAACACACTCACTCACTCACTCACTCACTCATGTGTTGTGGCATTCTCATGTCATTGGGTGCATGACTTTCCTACTTTATGCTGTCAGCAACAACTCTACCTTGGTGAGGATTAGCAGCGTTAGAAATGGGCACTAGTCCCATAGTCTTTGTCAGGTATCATAAGGACTAGTAGAAATTTGCCTTCCTAAAAGGTTTTGCTATATGTTTTCATTATAAGGACTTGTGGACTAAAACTGTTAGTTTGTAACACTGATTAGGGCTTCAACAGCTCCAAAGGTTTCGACACGAGTACTCTGGGGGTGAAGCTCCACTCATGCTTGAGTACCCTATAATATGAACCTTTTTATAGCGTAATTATCTTTATGAACATGAGCATGTAAGCTTATGGAGCATCCTTTTCATAACGAATAAAAGCAAATAATATAAAACTATACTCAAATAAATCTTAAATCAACCCACCTGTTATTGTAACTTTTAAAAAAATATCATTTCAAAACTATTTGTAGCAGTTTTACTTATTGACACGTCATTCTTTCTTTATATGCAACATGTATAGCAATTAACAAAGTATGTGAATGAGAGTTACCTCCCTTAGTTGGTACTTGAGTCATCAATGACGGTTCCAATGTCATGTGCTTGGTGTCACAATGTTTACAACATCATGTCCTTGGTGTCACATTGTTTACAGCATCATGTCCTTGGTGTTACATTGTTGACAACATCATGTCCTTGGTGTCACAATGTTTACAACATCATGGACCTTGTGTCACATTGTTTACAGCATCATGTCCCTTGTATCACATTGTTTACAGCATCATGTCCCTGGTGTCACATTGTTTACAACATCATGTCCCTGGTGTCACATTGTTTACAACATCATGTCCCTTGTGTCACATTGTTTACAGCATCATGTCCCTTGTATCACATTGTTTACAGCATCATGTCCCTGGTGTCACATTGTTTACAACATCATGTCCCTTGTGTCACATTGTTTACAACATCATGTCCTTGGTGTCACATTGTTTACAACATCATGTCCTTGGTGTCACAATGTTTACAACATCATGTCCCTTGTGTCACATTGTTTACAACATCATGTCCCTGGTGTCACATTGTTTACAACATCATGTCCTTGGTGTCACATTGTTTACAACATCATGTCCTTGGTGTCACATTGTTTACAACATCATGTCCTTGGTGTCACAATGTTTACAACATCATGTCCTTGGTGTCACATTGTTTACATCATCATGCCCCTGGTGTTACATTGTTTACAACATCATGTCCTTGGTGTCACATTGTTTACATC